GAAACGGGCTAGAAAATGTTTCTAGGAATTCAACAATCGATTTTTAATTAGTTTCTTTCGGATTGTATCAATGTTAATAACCGATTGACGATTAAGTGCTGGTAAAAACTGACTTGCGGCAAGAAGTACGAAGGGGGACGTGTTCCTCGGGACAGGTACAGCCTAAATCGAGAGACCGCGTCTGATTTACTGTTTCCTTTAGGGGTGGGGGTGGTCGCCGTACGTCTGGAAATAAAGTTTTAAGGTTCAATTAATCGTGATTGATGGTCGTAACACTTGTTTGGACACGCACTTGGGGAATAAAGTAATTAGAGGGACGGACAAGTATTTTGCCGCGCACTCTTTTAGATCAGGGGTTCTCAGTTTTTAATTTCTTATCAGGATCCGAGCAATCGAAGAAAAGAATAGAAATGTCACTTTCACCTTGTTTATACAAGTCGCTGATAATCAACGCAGTATTAAAAAGTCCATTGTAATTTGAATTTCTATTAAAATTCTATCCATTAACGCTAAAACAACCGAGCCCTAAACAAGGCTAATGTATAGTGTTCCGTAACAATGTCAAAACTGGATTTATTTCAACCTCGCATCATTTATATAATAAACAAATGTACCTAAAAATTTCCCTTAGAAATATTTTGACAATATTAGTAGCCGTAAATGAGTAAACCAGGAACCAGTCATTTTGACTGGAACGGTAGTTCCAGCGTTAAAAATCTATTAAAATTTAAATATCCATTAAAGATTTATAACGTCTCAAATTTCTATTAAAAATCTATTCTGAGGTGACAATTAACCAGATTGCTCCACGAACGACAATTTCGGTAAAATAAACGAAATGAAATAAAGCAGCCGAACAGATTATGATCGATGATTTATCGCCGCCAGAATTATACCGACAGGAAAGTGACAAAATGCAGCATCCCCCCCACTCCACGGCCACCGGATGGTGGCTGCTGGCGATCGCAGTGGATTAACAGTAGAACCGCGATCGTAAACCGGGCCACCGGTAGCTGGAAGACCTGTCGCATTCTCCCATGGTGATCCCAGAAATCTGAGAAACCACCTAAACTAAACATAGCGACCCACCACGCTTCACCGGTTTATTTACGAACGCGGGAATCCGATGGAGGATCCTGGCAGCGCGGCACTCTGCGCGACTGTGCACCGTTTTTTCCATCGTTCGTCCCACGACGTGGCATCTCGTCTTCTTCTAATCCCACGTTGTCCCTTAATCTCCCATCTCCCGCGTCGCGAGGTCCACTAAATCGTGGAAAAATCCAGTAAATCGATCGCGGGATCGGGATCGCTGATTCGAGGGGATCCACGAGATCCCTCGATGCCCATTTCGCTTAATCTCGCCGCGACACGGCCAATTACCGGCCACGATCCACGTCTCAATCGTCGTCGAGTTCGAACGCGCCGGCGATTAACGGAATCTACGCGTCGAAGCGGCGTAGAACAAAGCTCGGAAACGGAGGCTAGGATAACGGCGGAGCGAAACGGGGATAGATAAAGGCACGGAGGACGCGGCGGAAAGGCGTATAACATCTGTTCCCTGTCTTTTCCTACTAAATCACCGCAATTTCTGTCACTCCTTTCGTTTTCCCTCGGAAGATGAATCGTTCGTCGTTAGTGCCAACGACGGCCTCCGCGGATACCCCCTCCTACACACTGCATACAGGGTGAGGCGCATAAATCCTGACCACTGGATGCTACCGTAAACGTCGGTAAGAGCCTTCAGATCCGGCCGTTTCCAATCTTTTTTCTGATAGGCGACGATCGAGGACGCTCGATGGCCGTCTTCCTCGCACGTAAAAGTAGAATTTAAATGCGTAAACATGATCGAGTTCACTTGTACTGAGAAATATTTAACAGCTTTTTATCGATACTAAACGATAAGTGACAGTTTTGCTAGTGTTGTTCATGCTAAAAAATTGTCGACTTCTAAATTTTCGTAAAAATTGCTGATATTCAAACAGCTATAACTCTGTGAAAAAAATTGTCCAACAATGTAACTTGGCTCATTTTAAAGCTCGAAGTCTCTACTTTCAAAAGCCATTAATCAGTTTCTTTAAAAAAATTGATTGATGATATGACCGATGGGAATCCTCGTTCTAGATTTTACAAGAAATTTTTAACCTTCGAAACATCGACGATATTCGAAATACTGTAACTTCGTGAATAAAAATCGTAGAACAACGAAACTAAACTCATTTTAAAGCCTGAAATCTCTACTTTGTCCCTGTATAATTCATTTTCGTCGAAAAAATTGTTCGATGACATAGCACGCGGGAAGCTGCAACAATTTATATCGGACAAAGTTGAAACGAGTCATTTATGAAATCTTAGAATTAGAAACGGCATACATATCTTTGCGTTGAATAGCCCGGTGCAATACGATGTTGTCGGCGTTCCTTAACATCGTCGGTGTTTACGGAGAAGTTTGCGTGGTTCGCGTGCACTCACAGTGTATGTGCCAGCCATAGGAGCAATCGAATGGCACAGCACTTATTCCCGGGGACCTGGAGAGAGCGAACCGATTTACTCCGGCAGTAAACCGTTCCGCGACGCGGTGCTGTGTGCCACTCCAACGGGACGTAGGTAAATACACGGGAAAACCACCGTGCCCGGTGATGCTCGAACGCCGATGGACGCGGATCAAAATAGAAACCGGCGAAGATCGGCCGGTTGCGGTGTGATTAGCGGATTGAACTGCTCCGGCGCTGGACCGCTGAACCGGGGGGAAGCTACATTTAACCCGAGATGCAACATATGCAAAATACAAAATTACCCGCGACTGACTTTCGTGGACCCGTACAGCTGGGAATAATAACATAGTTACGGTTTACCTATCCGGTATTCTAACTACTTTACGGTAACATGGACACGAGTTACTCTAAGTTTTTATTTTATTATTTGCACCGTAAGATTGAAATTCAACGTGGGCGCCATGTATAAGATAGGTCATTCGAAAGGGCGTCGAATGCACTTTTAATCATCGTTAACTTCGTTAAAATTGAATGACGTTCACAGAGCATATGACCAATTTTGTAAAGTAATAAAATAGCTACGCTAATTATGCATTATTCCAAGTTCCATATTCTTTGCATCGTAACTTCGAAATTAAAAAAGAGGGCCACGGGTGAGACAGGCCATTTGAAAGGGCATCGAATGCACTTTCAATCACCGTTAGTTTTATTAGAATTCATCGATGTTCGCAAAAGATATGACCGATTTTGTGGAGCAATAAAGTAGCTACGCTAGTTATGCATTACTCCAAGTTCCATATTCTTTGCATCGTACCTTCGAAATTAAAAAAGGCGGCCACGGGTGAGATAGGCCATTCGAAAGGGCATCGAATGCACTTTCAATCACCGTTAGTTTTATTAGAATTCATCGATGTTCGCAAAAGATATGACCAATTTTGTAAAGTAATAAAGTAACTACGCTAATTATGCATTATTCCAAGTTCGATATTCTTTGCATCGTAACTTCGAAATTAAAAAAGGGGGCCACGGGTAAGACAGGCCATTCGAAAGGGCATTAAATACTCTTTCAATCACTGTTAGTTTTATTAGAATTCATCGAAGTTCGCAAAAGATATGGCCGGTCTTGCGGTACGATGGTACAGGCTTCATTAATGGAATCAGTGTAGCGACCTTTTTCGGGTTTAACGAGCTAGTGTTTCAGGAAATACGCTCCACTGGAAGCCGAAGAGGGGCAGAGAGGTTAGTGGAAGGTTAGTGGAAGGCGCGTTCCATGGGCGGGACATCGACGAAATTCGGTAGCCGATCTCCGGGGCACGGATACCGGCGTCGGCGGCGGCGGCGGCTAATTAAGCGACGTAATGAGGTCGTCCCCACGAGTTAATTATTTTCTCGGGTATCGTCGACGCGGATGAACGGTCCTCTGCGATCGTAGCTCTCGGCCCCGCGACAGGAAACGGCAACGTAAAATGATTCCCCGAAGCTGTTCCTAACCGATTGACGACACCCTAAATCAGCCCGACGGCGACGCCGCGCGGACGCCGTCGCGGCGCGGGACCAGAAATAATGTATGTATACCGGCGCACCTACCTGTGTAGTAAACACAATTAACCACAATTTACCGCGCGATAAATAAATCATCCGGTTAGCAAATGACCGCGACAGAATAAGACGATTAAGTACAGGGTACAAGCCGCGTTTTAGTTGCTCGAGAACAATGGAAGTCGAAGATCGGAGCAAAAGTGTACGCGCGCGAAAAGATTTCGAAAATTTCAAATTATTTGAAATTTCATTTCCATGCTAATCCATAGAAATTTCTTAATTTTATCAAGATTCGCGAGAGATAAGTATGTATATCGAAATAGTAATCGACGTCAGATAATTTTGCTTTACAAGTTTCATTTAACTGATTAAAATACTGCAATTCTATGAAAATTTTTAGATGTTTTCGGCATCCGTGCTTCCAAAGCAGCTAATTATAAATACACGAACATAGGAGGAGAGGGGGGGGCGGAATTATCTGTGTGCACCCTGTACACTTTTGTTCGTTCACAGAGCGGTTTAGCGTTCCGATTAGTTCTAGATCGTTCGAGTACTTAATTAGGCGAGCACCTGGCAAAGAAAAACGTAGCCGCCGATTCGATAAATCTGTGTCGTGGACATGTGCATCTTATTTTCGCAGGATCTCGTGCGCGACCGGGGTGTCCTGGCGCCTGTGTTGCGATGATTTATTCATCGGGGGGGCGTTCTCCGACCGAAGAAGACCAGAACGGAGGTCGAGATATCGACCGAGGGGTTCGAGAAAACTCGGCGGGCATGGCTTCCTTGTTGTTCCACCGCCGAATAAATTGCTGCTTGCTTCTTTTGCGGCGTGTTTTCCTAGATTAAGGTGCCACAGATCCAGGCAGGAAACTCGGAGGGTTTCGGTTTTTTCGGGGCACGAAATCCCATTCGAGCGGATGCGATGTCGAGTGGATGGCGGGATGCCGATGATTAAATGTCAAAACTGCGCAAGCTTTCTCATTGGTTTTATTTTCTTTTCGGTCGACACCTTTCGCCGGAAATTTCTCGGCCGGTGAAATTCCGTTACCTAATTGTCGCCGGTGTGGTGTACGCAAGTAGGTAAAAAAAGGGGTACAAAGAAGGCTCGATTCGCGAAGAATGTAACCAGCGCGTTCGCCTAAGTCTCTCTCGCGAGGCCTCCGTGACTCCATGTGACGAATCTCGGTCGTTTTCGGGCGGCCGTCAATTTCGCCCGGGGAATTTGCGCGTCGATTCTCGGCCAGCGACAACAATTGTCTGGAGCGTGAATTACGAAAATTAATCGACGAGGATCGCTCGGAAGTGTGGTAACGGCGGTACAGATGCTCTTTGTTCGGTTTCAGTGGAGAAAAAGATCGGGGCAATCGCGACGAGCACGGTGCCACGAACAAGTAAACAGAGAACCGGTAAGAAAGCTAAAGGCGGCTCCACAGGATGCGTCCTTCCTCCCGAGCGCACTCGGACAAGGGGCCATTCAAAGGAAATTCTAACTGTTTACCGTTGCGGTAAACCGCCGGCTCCCTTTTCCCTTCTTTTTCCCGATCGATAAACGGCGAATCGTTCCTCGATCCCTGTCGCCGTGAAACGCAATCGGAACGGCCACGAATTTACGTTGCATTCGAAGGTGAGTTCTTTGAGGGCACTCAAGGTCGCATGGATCTCAGTGCTCCAACGGCAGAGTTGCGCCAATTCGATTACATTGCATTCAATTTCGCGATCGAATTACATATCGTATTTCGACGATTAGGTTGCCAGGAAAGTCCGTTCCAAATCTGTTACGCGAATTCAACGAACAACAACACTTTCTCGACATTTCCTCTTATTAATTTATTATTTTTTTCATTCGTAACCTTAATTCGATTCGTAATTAACCTTCGTCATTACTTTGTAATTACAATCTGTAATTTAATTTTAGTTCGTAATTTAATTGTGATTCTGCACAACTCTGCTCGCAGCGGTCGCACGCAGCGATGGGTAAAACGTTGTTTCCAAAAGTCCGTAGCAATTTTGATCTAAAATATTTTATTCTTTCATTTATTTTTCATTCAACCCCTAACCGGTAAACCTGGGTCACGAGCAATCCCAGCCTCTCGTTTTCTAGTAAATTTTCCATGTCACGATCGGTTTTGTACACTAACTAAGAATAAAATATCAATGGAGATTTTATCGGGGTCTGTCGTGACCAGAGAATACCAGTCGTTTCTATGAAAATCATTACGTCAGCTACGGGTTAAAAATGCTTGAAACTTTCTATTTGCTGAAACTCTGCTACTTAAAATACTATTCTGCCTAAACTGTACAGAATCAACTATCTCAAATAGTATTTTAAATATCTCTCTCTCTCTCTCTCTCTCTCTCGCCGTTTTTTTTACCCATCACTGACGGTACATACATGGTTCACCAATCGTTAAATACTATATACAAAACGAAAGATATCGTTTACAATAATATTTGGTATCTCGTGTTCACACGGTGCCGTTGCTTTCGCCGATGTAAGATCGAGCAACGTTTTTCGGAAGCGAAGTACATAATTTCGATAGAAAACTCGTGAAACGTCAGATTTATTTATCATAAGAACGCTACGCTTCTCTTCTATTGACTTTTGTCGTTTCGCTATTAGAAAGAATTTCGGAACGAAAGGTCGCAGTTTGAAATTCCCGCGCGGCCGCGCGCGAGATTGCCCACACAAGCATTCGAGTGTTCTCAGCGTTTGTGTATCTCGCACTGTTCATTACGCGGTACGCGTCGTATTTACATATTCTCACAGTGAAACAAACGAATTTCACCGTTATACACGCGGCAATAAAAAAAAATACGAAGACGATTAGACGTGCACAACCACTACGATCCACCGAAACGAACTGCGTAGTTATCGTTTTACAAAAATGATGCTCCGTTCGAATTCGAACGGAGAACCGAGGAAATGGCGCGCAAGCTTGCGCGCGGGAAATCAAACGACGTAAACGGAGCATCGTTCAAAAGTCGAAGGAAAAAGAGATTGATTAGTAGAAAATATACAATGTATAGAGAGCTAGAAGAACTATACAATAGCTATTTAACTATAAAAAAGAGAAGTAAACAGTTTTCTTTGTGTACGGAAGTTGTCGATCGTTTAATTCGTAAATAAACGTGAGGCAGTTTCGTATAACGTACGCACGGTGTACATCGGCTTAGAGATTCTACTTCAGTTCTTAACAATAGTGACCAGTTGAAATCAGGATATTTGTGTTCAAATTGTTTATGGAATCGCATGGTGGAAGAACCGATATTAGTTTCGAAGTGACAGTGTCCCGAATCCTGTTCCGGATCCGAAATTGGTTGCTAAGGTTAGCGGCTACTCGGGGTAAGTTTTACGTTTGTCATTTTTCACTAACTTATCATATGTATTCCCAAGAACGGTGTTGTTCTCTGACGCAAAAGAAAAACTTCGATTGAATTTCATTGGCACGGCAATAGGTTTTGTGCGAACCTTTTCGCGTTTAAGGTTACGGTATACGGTCTCGTGACAAGATCCGTAATAAGTACATGAACAGAATTGAAAATCGATCGATCAAATGGGAAGCCTCTACGATCTTCCTATTCACTTTTCTCACTCTCACTCTTTCTCTCGCTTTCTCGCTACACAGTTGCACATAATTTACCAAGTATCCGCTAATTACTCTTTAGCAAAGAGCTACAGCTTTGGAAGTTTACATGGCAGAACTCGACTCGCTGTCAAATGGTCTCTCAACTTTTAGATAGTGTTAAATTCCCAACGGATACGTCAGAACTTAAGACACTACGCCTTTAACAGTAATGAATTTTTAAACCTTGACTCGGCGTGTTATCTTTTGACTCGGTGTGTTATCACGTTTAAAATTTGCGAATATAGTACAACTCGTATTTTACAGTTAACCTTCGTATATAAATATCTATCAAACACCCACAGCATGCTGATATACACGGAACCGAGAGGTTGTACGGTACTGTGTAGATAAATATAAATAAGCAGGCATTGTCAGATTCTAGAACCCTACATCTCTCCAGTTTAGAACATAAAGTTCCCCAAGATCTGCATGCATTGTTATCACAACTTTCTTCGTTCTCGGATAATTTAGAGAACAAGCAAATGTTTTCTGTACATTTCGAACTTATTCCATGGTGATGCCCCTTAGTACATATTTTACTACAAAAGCGAACACCACAAAGCCTACAATCACGAAGACATTGGTGAGCACTCTGTGCAGGGTGCTCTGTTCTCTTTGCAACTGGTCCTGTATTAAATATGAAACTTCCGATGTCATAGACAGATGCCTCCCTTGCTTCTCCAATTCTTTCCTATGCTTCAGTTCTGCTTTTATCACCTGCACACACACACACACAACACGTGAATCTCCAATTACCAAGTCTACGAAGAAATAAATAATTACATTAGGCAATTACCTCGACAGTGTCTGGAAAGAGTTCACAGAACATCTTGTCCATCAGGTTGTACTCCAAACTTTGTACAGCCAGTAGTTTCTTCTCATGATCTGTTGTGATGATACTACCCCAAGTTGGACTTTGCTCGATCTGTTATTACGATGATCATTATTAAACATTAAATTATAATTATACATCTTACTCAAGTAAGTACTTATTATATACCATAAAACTAAGCAATCCAATGAGGATAGTAGACACATTCCACGCAGGGTTCCAGGTGTCAGGATGGAAGTCAGATATGGATAGACATAATTTCTTGTTGACCTTAAATCTGCCATTTGGAGTATTCATGTATATGCTGGGTGGTTGAAACGGATATTCTACAGGGAATATCAACTTCCCATGATAAAATCCCCCTTCATATGGAGTTTTCTCTGGACCCTTCACCACATAATGCCTACAAAAACATTGCATCATGTTCAACACCATTTTGCACCACTATAAACAATTAGTTACTCCAATATTGGACGTGGACCATTCTAGTATATTTGTGGGCACAGGTTCTGCTAGCACATAGGGCACAGGGTCCTTTTTCAAACGCAGATAATCCTGTTTCAGTATAGCTGTTGCACTGTTTGTTTTTCTGTTCATATTGACTTCAGGAATTCTTGTAAATATCTATCAAGGTACTTTTAAGGCAACGTTCTCCGTCCGAAGGTCCTTCAGTCTAATAGCTAGTCCACGCAGCTGAGGATTATCACGTGGAAACTCGTATCTTCGAGTTTTCTTCACAAACGATCAAGGTTAGAAAATTGTACGGTCGGTTACGCGGAAATAGTAGGGCCACCCTTTGCAGGCCACGCCGATGAAGGTTATCGCTTAGGTCGAATTCGTCGCAGGAATCAAAGAATTTCATAAACAAACCAATTCCGCCATTCGTCAGCCCACCTACCGAATAATCGCAAATGACACTAATTTTGACAGCGAATCCTCCCGACGGAAAACATAAGACTATGAAATGCTACTGAAACGTCGCGAATCTCAGTGTTACCAAGTTCGTCTGACGGGAACCGATTAAGTTACAATAACGCGGAAGAACGGCATGAATGATTTATTATATCATTGTCATTTCACTCCATCGTGATTCTGGCGAGAAAATCCGCATATTGCAATCGGTTTCTGAACAAATACCGTCGCAGAATGTCAATATTTAATGGAATCCGAGTACGCATGACTGTTTGTTGAAATCACGAATAAACAGCCGTACGAATAAAACTGTGTTTGTTAATAATCATACTTTTCATCGGTACCGATAGCTAGTATATCTCGGATGTCCCTAGACAATGATATTTATAACAAATAAGATCCTCGAGATACGTGTGCACACATCTGGTAAAGAGTATTTACATGATTTCGACTCTAGCCTTCCCGATTTTGGCCCTAAACAACGGTTTTACCCTCGTAATTTGCGAAAATCTCGGCTGTCCGTGCGTTAGTTATAGTCAACGAACGACGGAAGACACGCTACAGCACGTTAATTACGTAATTTGACGGTGGTTGCGAAGACGCAATGAAAATTTACTCGTTGATGAATGGAGCTTAAGATTCGTGACAGTCTCCGCCTCCCACCGACGGTACCGACCATCACCGGGAAACTCGATGCTGTTGTTGACATTTTAGACAGTGGAGACATACTTCGAACAACATTCATGAACAATTTTATAAAGTTGTACGGTCTTTTTAAACATACGCTGCAATAAAATCGTTTCAATTCGCGAAACTCATCTAAATGATGAGTTCTCCTGTATCCATAAGCAACACTGGGCCTATAGCAGGTGCTTCTGGTATGGAAACAGTGGTGGCTGTGGCCCTTGGTGCACTTGCTGCTGTTTTTCTTGGTGCACTGTTAGTGTTGCTTGTCCTTTGCAAAAGACAACGATGTTATTATGTAAGTTAAACAATAATCTTCGCCGTGACTGCTATACAAAATGGTGTCAACACTCCTGAATCATAATTTCAGAATCAGAAAGATTCTCCAGACTTGAGTTCTGACTTGTTAGAGGGGGAGAACTTCTCTGGCTTAGGCTTGGACGCGTGGGAGAGTGAGGAATGGTTGGCTGGTGCAGAGAGGTACTTAGTATATTTAAATAAAACTTTGAGATCATTGAAAACCAGCTGTTGTTTTCAAATTCATGTGGATTCTACAGGTGGGTTGACGATGCAACTGGGTTGGCTCCCTTGTGCATTGCTGTGTTGCGATCATGTCATGCACTGGCTTCTAGTCTCACTGCCATTGCAGGGACAGTGAACAGTAACACGGTTCCACTTGAGATCGTGGATGTAAGTGACTATTTCTTGTTGCTGTTAGCCTTAGGCTACGATACAAAGTTTCTGTAAACAGGTTGCCAGACGAATTCCTCCTCGTGTGGATGATGTGGTGAGAAGCTTGTACCCTCCACTGGATGCTAGACTCCTGGAAGCCAGGGTAGCAGCACTAGTGTTGGCTGTCACGCATTTAGCGTTGGTTACCAAGCACGGAGTGTCGAAAAGCCATGCTAGGAAATTAGCATTTATTGATCAAGCTTTGAGCGATATGGATTCCCATTTGTCGATTTTACGAAATGCCGCGTTAGCGCAGGAGGTGGCATGCTCCGTGCCCGCCTCGACTCCCGTCTAAGTAGTTTTAACTTTTAACGATATTTTTCTATCTCACGCGGTTTTGGGTCCAAATAACTACGTTTTCCACGAAGATCTGAGATTTATAAGTACACGTACGAGGTACATACTACTAGAAAGAGAGAGAGAGAGAGAGAGAGAGAGAGAGAGAGAGAGAGAAAGAGAGTTGCATTTCTATACTTGTCTTTTATTATGTCAAGGTTCAAAACCTAACGGTGCAAGTTTCGAGTTACTCTACCGACAATATTCAGTGCTTTACATTTCGTCTACTTATAGTTATTATAAAAATGCATACATTACTTTCACGATGTATTAAAAAATATTGTGAGATATACATATATATTTTAAACATTTTTACGACGAAAGAACACCAGAGGTAATGTCTTGTGATATGGATATATTAATGCGCAGAGAGAATTTTTAGTCTTCCAGTTGTTTGCGACACTGTATCAGAGTATTTATGTATATCCGAGATAAACAAATTCTATCTCGCGGACCATGTGTCATCGTCAATTCTATTAAGTATTTGTAAGTGTTTGTACACGTATATTTTGTACGGCTATATTGAGAATCAAATGAATTTTTATAGTTGAATAGAACTTTATATAATAAAGCTGAATCGTAAGACAGAAAAAAAAAATAGAAAAGAAAGACGAGCGGAGCATTCGTAGTGTTTCAATAATATTTAAACGTGTTTTATTCTTGTAATATTCTGTAGTAATCTATATATATAGAAAGATTATATATATAGATGTATGTATGTATATATATATATATCCAATTTATATTTCTCGCAATACATTATTGATATCGGATCCCTAGATTATTTGCATGGCGTACGCACCATGGATCAATCTTGCAGGTTGTCACAGAGTAATTCGCTTTATCATTTAAATAAATTAACTAATAATCCACGGCACACTGTAAAACGCTACACAGCAGCGCAGTGTCGGCACCGGGCACAAAGAAATGTCCAAAAATATATAGGAGTCACGGGAAGGTTCCTATAGTAGAGGAAAAATATGCTGGAGAATGAACTCGGTCATCGTGTGTACATTATTTGCTTCTGTGCAGCTCCTTCTGCCTTTTGGAGTTATCACTGAGAACCTTAGATTTGAGATGCTCCTTGTAGTCCAAAATATTTCCGCTCCATTTTGTGATCGTGCCATTTTCGCAAACCCAGATCTCCTCTGCCACCTAACAGTCGAAATAAATCGTCAGTCTCGTCCTTCGAACGACCTTGAAGCATCTATATCATGATAGATATACCTGATTGATCAATCTGAAGTCGTGAGACACGAGCACCATTCCGCCATCGAAATCGTTAATTGCATCAGCCAATGCGTCGATGGTCTCCATGTCCAAGTGATTCGTCGGTTCGTCCAGGAGAAGCAGATGAGGTACTTGCCAGGCCAACCATGCAAACACGACTCTACAACGTTGTCCATCAGACAACTGTCGTATAGGACACACCTGGAATACCAAAGTAAAACATTCAACAATATTTTCACCATTTTGTTACCATCGTATTTCAAGACCGTACCTGTTGGCGACCGGTTAGCCCGTAACGACCGATGATCTTTCTCATCTCCTCGCGCTCTTTAACGTCCGGGAAGGCCTTCATCATGTAGTCCAAAGGCGATATATCCAGATCCAACAGTTCATGCAGATGCTGATGATATCTGGCTATCCGAAGATGGCTGTTCTTGCGGATCATGCCGCTGGTTGGAACCAACTGTAATTTTGCATCGACATTTCGATATTGACCGACCGAATTTCAATTACTAACTGATCTTAGGATACTTACATCTCCATACAACAATTTTAAAAGAGTACTCTTGCCAGCACCATTAGGTCCGACCAACGCTATCCTGGTGTCCAGGTCGATACCAAACTCCAGGTTTTTGTAGATCCACGGCGAGTCCTCGTTATAACGGAAACTAACGTTCTGTACCATTATGACTGGGGGCGGAATGGTTCCGCAAGAGGGGAAGTAGAAATTTAATACTTTGTCGTTGACCACTTTCTCTGTGAGTCCTTGCGCTACCATTTTCGCTAGAGTCTTTTCTTTAGATTGAGCTTGCCTGGCCAACTTGGCGGAGCCGTGACCGAATCGCGCAATGTAGTTCCTCATGTGCGCGATTTGATCCTGCTCCCAGTTGTACTGTTTTGCTTGGTTTTCTAACAACTCCATTCGCGTCTTCACGAACGCTTCGTAGTTTCCTGTGTAATACTTTAGTTGCTTTTTGTTCACGTGAATGATATTTGTACAAATGCCGTTGAGGAAGTCTTGCGAGTGGGAGATGATCACGAGAATTCTTTTGTACGTTTTCAACTCCTCCTCCAGCCACACACAAGCGTCGAGATCCAAGTGATTTGTAGGCTCATCGAGCAACAATAAATGAGGCTTCACGTACAGCGCTCTCGCGAGAGCGATTCTCATCCGCCAACCACCGGAGAAGTCTTTGGTCGGCGTTCGCTGCATCTTCGCCGTGAAACCCAAACCGTGTAGAATGTGTGCGGCGCGTGCTTCTGCCGTATCAGCAGCCATGTCCTCTAATCTCTCGTAGACGTCCATCAGCTGTTCCTGAGCATCCTCCTCGTCGCACTGCATCAGCTCCTCAGCTAGTTTCTCTAACCGGACACGCTCCTCGTCCACTTCCATCACACACTCTAAAGCAGTTTTATTGCTTGCAGGCATTTCTCTAGTCAGATGAAAGATATCGATCTGGTCAGGAATAGGAACTTCTCTGTTTCCAAGTACAGCCAGTAAAGTGGATTTTCCAGATCCATTGAGACCGAGCAAACCATATCGTCTGCCACAGTTTAATTCGAGCATAGTGTCTTGCAATAGTTCACAGCCATGAAAGGTTATAGAAAAGTTAGATATCTTTATATCACGGCTACGTGGGTGTGAAGCCAGTGATCCTGTACACGAGCGTGCCTCGGCATTGAGTCTGGCATCTGCCTCCAGCTTGAGACACAGGGCCTCTGTAAAATGCAATTAAAAATTTATACTGTTCTGTCAAAAACAGGATATATTCTCGTCTTACCTTCAACACTGATGGGGGTCCCATTGGTTCCATTCTCAATGACAGAGTCAGGACTTCCTTCCTTGCCATCATCTGAGCCCTTTGTTTGATTCGGCTGTGACGGCTTCTTTTTGGTCTGCCTAGCCTTAGCAGCCTCCTTCTTTTTCTGCTGTTGCTTCTTCTTCGCGTCGGATGGCATTGTGAACCTCGAGAAGCTGCACAGGAGGATATACGCGTTACGTAAGCTTCAGGTTAGGAACTAGATAGCACGTGCGTGCAGAGGACAGACCGCGAGGTTGCAACGTCGAATTTGAAAATTCGAAAACTCTCTATATCACCGTAAACGGTTCGTTACACGAGCTGACCGTGGGGAGTGTGTACACGCGTGTACGTGTATAAGAGAGAAAGAGAGAAAGGGAGAGAGAGAGAGTGAGTGAGAGAGAGAGAGAGAAAGAGAGAGAGAGAGAGAGAGAGAGAGAGAGTGAGGGGACCACAAAGTAGAGCGACAGAAAGGCAAGAGGATAGAGAGGAAGGGTACAAGCCAAACGGATTGTATAGCTCTCCTCCAGCTTCAAAAATCAATTGATTCGGCAGTGCACACGAATTTGAAACTGCACCACCCCGAAGAACCAAAACCAGCCGTGGAATTAACAGAGAGATGATTGCAGAGGCAAAATTTACGAAATACCTTCAATTTGTACTAAAGAAAATTCGTGTTCACTCTGTCGTCGAATCACTTTGAAAATTGATCGACCTACGTATCGCTGGGCGTCCCTGTTCTTCTCTGTCTCGCCTAATCACGAAGTAACCCTCAGAAATTACCTAGTTGTGCGCCAAAAATCGAACAGTCCGTGCAACTCGCGAACACACGTGTATGGATAAAGGCAAAGCCGTCAAAACGACAACGGTTGTCGGCACGTTTCATAGATGTCACCACAGGACCAGTGGAAAATTTTCGGAATTACTGTATGGGACTTAATTAAAGTCCTGTTGGAAATGATCGTGGTCGAACAACGTATACATATATTTTCGAATAATACCGAATTTTCAAGGAACTTCAACGATGTCTCTTGAATGATTTCTATTGTTTAAGTCCAATAGACATTTGTGGAGAACAAATGTAGTCGTTGCAAACGTGCCGTTACGTTCGCGATTGATCATCCCACGTACTTTTCTATCTACATATAGTTATGCCTCGGCATAGTAAGCAATTCTGCTTCACCATGGCTGTAAGCATTTTTATCCCCACCATTTTAAGGCGCATCCAGGCCCGCGCAGTTGCTTTAGAAGGAGAAAGGGGGATGATCGTGAGAGACAGAACGAAACCAGTGGGCTCTATGTGTGCGTCCACACGGACGCATACTGAAACCGGTGGCGCGACATTCGACTTGTATTTTTCGGAAACCCGTAAGCTACATTTTAAATAATACTTTCTAGATTATGAATCTACAGAATTTTGTTAATACTGCCATCCCAGTACTTGTCAACTGTGACGGGCAGCAATCAGTGCTCTGCTGTACGAGAAGGATTTTCGAAAGCAACGAATAATTTCGCAATTTTATATGACGGAATAGTTTGCTCGAGTAAATTAGATGGAATAGTTTGTGTTCGAATAAATAGATAGAATAGTTCGGCCGAATAAATAGACGGAACATAATGAATATCAATGAAATTCAATAAAAATCGTAACTTTCCAAACTTGAACATTTTGAGGTTCCCATTTTCGCTAATAAAAATTACTTGTCTTCGTTGCAAACGAATATATTTAATATCTTCACACATCGCCTAATCGATCTCACGAGATTTGCATTGACGGGAAACAATGGTGCATAATGGCCATTATCGAAACACCTTACAATTTTTATGTTGCAAACCCTGTTTCAGAAATTGCATTGTTCGTTCTTTTGTAACGTCTGACTAAGTTCACAGAATGACGAAGAATCATTAGATTAATGATTCAGCTAGGGCACAATGTCTAGGTACTGCGGTGGAACAACTGCTTCGAACCGCATTCAGCCACGTTGTAGCTGTTCCCCCCATTAACATTTCAAACGTGGATCATTTCAGATGCTGCAACAATAAACGCAATTGGTGACCGGTGCGATTAGTGTGCCCAATGTTGTTCGTAAAACAGGTACTACAATCTCCAAATACATAATGGCCATATTGTGTTGCACTTAAATATGGAGCTCTAGGTTAGGTTGCAAACTTCAAGTACCATAAGGTTCATCCTTATCTCTACGCTATTTAGTCCGACTTCTCACGTGGATATGTTGTTTCCCATGGTGTCAAACGATCCTTTGCCGCTACTCGACAGTTCCCACCGTTTTCAAATGAGATATTTTCATAGAAATAAATCATCGATTTCATCCGTTGGGTTGGTCAGCTATCAGAGCTTAGAATGATATGCCAAAAATACTTGTAATTTCGTTGAGATAAAGCGGAACATTCGACGAAAAATATAGAAAATTGCTAATAAATAAAACCGATTCGACGGGTTTGCCGTCGAAGGGGTGGATGATGGAAAGACGAAGGACTCCGCGGTAGCCGGGGTCGCTGAAAATGATTGAAGGCTCGCAGGTAAATTAAGGCCAAAGAATCGCATTCCTCGCCGGCGGGGTTACGCGGCGCGGTTCGAACGGCCGAGAGTGCCGGTTAAAGAAGCGTGTTCTGATGAATGAACGAATGGATAAACGACCGCGGTAGGGGGTGGTTAAAAGAAGAGACGGACTTGCGCCCGTGCGGATCCGAAGTCTGCTGGTTCGGCGGTGAGGGTAAGGATGGCGTAGAGACCAGAGCGGACCGTGCGGCAAGGGGTTCAGAGGGGTTCGCGGGGACGCCGGTGGTGAACAGGGGAGTGGGGCGCTGGCTTAATTGCACCGCATCACAGAACGTAGTATTTCGTAGTACGTGGTGGTGGGGGTGTAATGCGTCCTCGTCCTCGTCGGCGGCGTCGTTATTCGTATGTAAGCTGCACGCTCACCGCCATCGACGTATGCGTACCAGTGACGTACCCACCGCGGGCCCACGGGTGCGCCACTTTTAACCCCTTAACACTAAACACCGCCGGTGTCGAATGACCGGCTTCATATTTTATATTTTATAATCGTCGCAGTCGTAACACCGTTGCCATTAAAAATTGTTGAATGGGTTTCTTTGAATTGAAATATCGTCAGCAGTTTAAATAAATTCAATCTTGACATTTTTATAGGGCAACGGTGTTGGACTTCGGCACGTTTAGTATTAACCCCCTGCACCTGTTTCTCTATTTTAACCCTGTAACTACAGGCTGCTGCAAATGCATTTCCTATGCACCTTAATCCTTACGTCAATAACTGGGTACCCTTTTGCACATTCTCCTCAAAATATTATTCGCTCTATGTGATATATTTCAATAGGAAAGAGTGCAGGAAGGTGTACAAATTCGCTGAACTGTTAATAAAAGTATTTTATGGCGACAATGGATATAAAATAAATACGAGCGAATGTTTGTATAATTATATGCAAATTTCATGGAACGGTAACGCGACATAGGAGCTGATCCACAGGAATGCATGAACATTCGTGACGAAATAGCGGGGGTGGGGTAAACTAAAGGTCCTTTCTATTATTTCGTCCTTGAAACCAGAGGCAGTCGACCGGTTTAATTGAAAAGGTCGCAGGATCGCGATGATCGCGCTTTGAGTAGGTGTTTTAGTATTCTGGAAGGTGTCACTCGGTGTTCCTAATTTTGGACAGTGTACTCTCGAGGCGACTTTTGTTAGCCGCTAGTAGGGGTCGGAATCAGCGGAGCGACGATAATACGAACCAATCGGCAGGACGTACGACACCGAGCAAATAATCGATCGATCGAGACGTTTGACACACTTTTCCAGGCGGACAACGATTAATTTTCGACGGCGCAGAACTCTGTGCCTGGATTTTTTCGTCGAAGTAGCCCCGGCCAATGCATGCTCGGCCACACATGTGTATCCTGATCCGCGATTGACCCAATATTTATGGCATATAATATTTCTTCTATCGCGCGTTCTTTTATGTACAGCCTTATCTCGAACATCGATGTCTCTAAATTACCGTGCATTAATCAACAATTTACGATATCCTGTTAGCGTGCAGTGGAAATCCGCTGTCAAAAATAAAAATTTCTTCTTTAACCTTTCTGCTAACTGGTCAACCTGTTGGCTTGTTGCAACCTTTTTGCAAGCTGTGTATGTTTTTATTATACTGTAATATAATTATATTGTATTCTATTCTATTTCTACTCTATTCTATTTTTAGTGTATTTCTATTCTATTCTATTTTTATTTTATTTCTATTCTATTCTATTTTTAGTCTATTTTTATTCTATTCTATTTTTATTCTATTTCTATTCTATTCTATTCCATTCTATTCTATTCTATTCTATTCTATTCTATTCTATTCTACTCTGCTCTATTCTATTTCTATTCTTTTCTATTCTATTTCTATTCTATTTCCATTCTATTATACTGTACATGTTTTTTATCTTCTTCGTATTTTGCTTAAGTGCAACACTTTTACAAAATATCTAGTTTAATAAAGAATAACAAAGCACATATCCTTCTTAACCACTTAGCTGTCTTTAATTAGTACACTCGTCGCAAGGACCGGTTAAATATGGTTCTCAGTGTTAGTAATTAAACTGTTTAGTATGTAGACGTGGAGCAGTATAATATTATAAGATAGCGGAGACAGTTGGCCAAAGATCAGGATGACCATTTTCCCGGCTGAATAGGGGCTATTAGGTTGAGAGCCGCTGCGCACTGTTTCATTGACAGTCGGCCGAGCAGGTGCAAAGATGGAGCAGTTTAGAGGAGCGAGGGGTGGACGTTAGAAATAATGATCGCGTCTGCCCCCTAATTTCCGCGGAGCCCTAGGGGATGCTAATCGAAAGTTGCACGGGGCTATTGCGGAAGTTCCAGCGTAATGGCGGGCACGGTGCGTCGCGGCGGCCTTACGGATAACACGTCCTCCCGGCGCCTTTTCGCCGGGAACGATGTCTTTCGTCCCGATTTCGGGTTAACTCGCCTCGTTAACGCAACGCGACACCCATGCCCGCTGCCGCCGCCCGGGCACACATCACCGGCGAGGAATTAATAATTTGCCGGCGGATGCCGGGCCCGGACCTGCCACTCGACCTGGAGTACGACAGCTGCGATTGGACGGCATTTGAATGAACGCCATCCGGCATTCACACCTTTTTTCAGCCCCTTGCCTTTCAGCCACGACCCCCGTCCATCGTGGAGCTCCCGATGTGGTCGAGGGTTACGCCGGTGTCACGCGAGTCTGCGCTCGCGTGTTGGTTCAACGTCACGCATACGAGCACCGTCAAGGCCGTACTCATTCCCACCGGGGCCCCGGGATATGATGCGAAGGATAAAAATCCTGCGAGCGAAATTAATCGCTAGGGGCGCACTTGGACGATTTTTATGACCTGGGCGAAGACGATCTGCGAGTGCCAGATGTCTTGCACAAGGTCAGAAGAAGGTCAGTAAAAATTCTGACACCATCTTCGATCTTTGCTCCAGAAGGTGGTCTTTGGAAGGCTTTTCCAACGTGGAGAAGGGGTGCTCGCAAGCGTGTC